CAGGCCCCAAGTTCAAGCCCCAGGACCAGTCAAAAAAGAAAAAAAATGAACAAATAAACAAGAACTCCCCTGGTTCTTACTGGGAAAAGCCAGAGACCCAGCATAGTAGGCCAATCCCTTCACCCCGAGACAAGGTTTATCATTCAGGAGAGAGAGAAGACACTGAATACAAACAGCAAATCCATGTCAGCTGACCAGGGCACAGAAAGAGTAGCTCAGGGCCAGCAGGCCAAGGATCAGCCAAGTCCAGGAATGCTGCCCAGTCACCCCTGAGAGCAGAAGTGGCCTCTCCTCCCCGGGTCCCATTCTGCTTCTGACCACAACCCCTCCGTGTCCCGCCTCTCCTGTCTGTCTCCTGCTTAGGCAAAACAGCTCAAGCTGCAGCCAGAACACCAGGTTCCGGGGTCCGCTTGCCCTCCCACACCACAGTCCCTGGTGGCTTCCAAGTGTCCACAAGCCCATGTTTGTATCATCAGCACCTGCTGGTGGCGCAACAGGGGGTGGGGCCAGTGACGTGGACCATGAAACCACGGGACGTACCCGCCACCGAGTCAATACCAGGCTGATGTGCCAACAAAGATAAAAAGATCGTCACTAGTGATAGCTGTTTTTTTGTTTTTGTTTGTTTTTCGGTTTTGTTTATGTAGACCTCTCTTTATCACCAGAGATTTGAGGCTACTGGAAATGATGGTGGAAATGAGAATAGGGATGGGAGGGGGAGAGAGAGAGAGAAAGAACTTGAGGAGCAAGAAAAGCATAAACAACATCAGCAAGTAGTGACCTGGTACAGAAGGCAAATGACAGAGGCAAGAGGAGGTGACAGAGTTGCAAGAGCTGTGCCACTGGCCTTGGGCTTCCAGGAAACTGGGAAGAGGAGGATTCATTATGTAGTCGTCATCATCAGAAACAAAGAGGCTCAATAGACTCCTAGGGCAAACAAGGCTCCCCTGATCGGTGGCTTGCAACAGAAATGTCTTTGTGGGGAATTATCTATCTATCTATCTATCTACCTATCTACCTATCTATCTATCTTAGTTATTTGAGACAGGCTCTCCTTATGTTACCTCCAACTCTTGGGCTTTAATGAGCCTCCCGAGTAACCCAGACTCCTGCTCTCTGTGTGTTTTTATGTAGAGTGTTCTCTGAGTTCTAGTAAAAGGCCACTGGATGGGGGTTAGCTCGGTGGTAGAGTGTGTGCCCAGTACATTCAAGGCCCTGGCCCCTATCCCCAACATTTTCCCACTCCTGTGTGCCCTCCCCCACCAAAAAAAAAATTGTTATTGAGGAAAGGCAGTTTGGCAGAATGATTTCCGGTGGCTGTCAAGATCTATGGACAGAATGTGAGGTTGCATCTATTAAGATAGTAAAATATTAACTAAAATGATTAAATAGCTCTATGTTTCATCTTCAAAAGAATATAACATGGAAGAAAGTATAAAGTATAGAGAAGGGATTAGACAAGTAACCGTGGACATTTCCACCATCAACACTTGTGTGTTCTTCCATACTATTGATCTAGGCTTGTGTGCACAGCCATATTTTGCAAGCTTACTTTTGTGGGATCACATTGTCTAGAAACCTGATTGTTTTTATTTAAAGAGTATAACATACAGACACCTCCATGCCATTGAGTGCTTTTAGTGGGCGGTAAAATGGGCAGACCGAGATTTATAAAGCAATCTCCTTTTGTTTTTTCTTTTTAATTTTTTTTGCCATACAGCAACTTGAACTCAGAGCCTTGTGCTTATTCAGCTTACTTACTAACCGCTGGTACTCTCCCACTTGAGTCATATCTCTAGCCTGGCTTTTTGCTGGTTGTTTTGGAGATTAGTCTCATGGAAGTTTCCGTTTGGGCAAGATCGGAACCGTCATCCTCCAAACCTAAGCTTCCTAATTACACATGGGAACCACTGATACCATGCTGAACAATCCTCCTCTCGTACATTGTGCTATTTCTATTTTTTGTTCAATTTCTGGAATTCATTTCAATAAATACATTTCTAATAATTTTTTTAAAATCTAAAAACCAGTGCAGTGCGCATCCTGATAGCTAAAGGCAAGCATTTCCATGATTATTTCCTTAAGATAAATGTTGGAGTAGAAGAACATACTTTTCTGAACAAGCACTTCCTGTCCACGACACTCAGAATTTCAGAGTCTGGAAGGCCTCTCAGCTGACTACAATGATGGTTTAGGTTCTAGAGGAGGTGTCCCAGGCCTTTGCCATGTGTGTAGGCTTCTTCTGGGTACTTTGAAACAAGTGTGGCAAACTGAATGTGTGTGTCTGACTTTGCTTTTGCAAGAAACCCTCCTAAAGTCACAGTAAAGATCATTTTTCCTCTTTTCTTTCTTTTCCTTCTGACATAGCTCCCTCCCTTCCTCCTTTCCTTCCTTCCTTCCTTCCTTCCTTGTTTCCTTCTCTTCTTTCCCTTCCTCCCTTCCTTCCCTTCCTCCTATCCCCTCCCTTCTTTCTGTCCTTTCCAAGTCCTCCAACAGGGCAAGTGGAAGAAAAGGCCACAAATCCACCATCGCAAATCCAAATCCAGGGAGGGTTTGCAATCCTAGTGGCACAGGAGGTAGAAGCAGGAAGATCAAAAGTTCCAGCCACATCCCGGCCACTGCGGCAGCCAGGAGATGGCTGCCACACGGAGTCCGAAGACCAAAGTGATGTTGTGAAGCAGAGAGACCAGGTGTGCCTCATCCAGGTAGACACAAGACTGCAGTATGATCCTCAGGAGTCCTGGAGTCAAGCCGGGTGCTGATGGCTCACACCTGCAATCCTAGCTACTCAGGAGGCTGAGATCTGAGGATCTCAGTTCAAAGCCAGCCTGGGCAGGAAAGTCCATGAGACTCTTATCTCCCATAAATCACTGGAAGCAGTGCCATGGCTCAAGTGGTAGAGGGCTTGCCTTGAACTGAAGAGCTCAGGGACAGCACCCAGGCCCAGAGTTCAAGCCCCAGGATCGACAAAAGAAGAAGAGAAGGCGGAGGAGGAAGAGGAAGAGGAGGAGGAG